AGTTAATCATTAATAGAATAAAATTTCACTTTCCAAAAATACATAGTTCTTTCAAATCGTATTCTCTTGAAGTACTAACGAATTCTTAAATACCCTCTCGTAACGTTTTACAGAATAAACATCGATCCCTTTTTCGAAGGGGATTCCTGACTCTCTTAGCCGACATTGGCCCCATACCACTAGCCTGGTCAGAGATCTCGCACAGACCACCAACCTCCACCACCTTGTCAGCGCGATTAAATCATAACATGATTTGCCTATAATCTGTCCCTCCTCATAATTATATCTAAATGGGATAACAACAAGTAGACTGAATCTACGGTAAATATCACACCATTTACCACCATCGTACACTAGAACATAAACGTCGACACCACCACCAGCACATAGATTGGGGTGGTCACGACCAAGTCGGAAGTACTGACTCAGTTTGCAATTTCAGCCAGTTTTTCACATTTAACACATATATCAGGGAGTGTGTCGCTCCCGAATCAACAACACTAAACAAGGAAAACCTGTTACCATGCGATTTACCTCTCGCCGGATCATCAACACCCGATGTCCCTGCGCCACTTGGGGTAACCATCCGACCGTGGTCACTTGCCTCTTCAGCATGCATGACCTTAGGTCTCCGATCCAGCTTGGGACAATACCTTTTAATATGCCTAAACTCCTTGCTGTGGAAACATCCATTCCCTTTTCCCGGGCACGTACTTCCATAATGAAGTCTACCGCACTGGTTGCACATGGGAGTAGAAACCCCTTCGGTAGGAACGGTAGGTTTCGACCCTTGGTACCCAGGGTTACGACGGACACCAGTTAGAGCATATGATCGTTGGATTTCATTCACCTTCTCCTCATACATCACGCTTCGGGTCAGACTATCCAATTCTAATGTCTCTACACCACACATGGCAACCATTCTGCCGATAGATTGAGGTCGTCCAGTCCCCATGGCATTCATACTCTGCCGTGACATAGGACAATACCTCTTGACATGTTCGGTCTCTTTGCAACGAAAACAGTGATTTGTCGTTCCAGAACACGATCCTCCGTCATGTTTTCGGTTACACTTGCTGCACCAGGATGGGAGTTTAACCGTGACACTCCGGCATTTGCATGGGTCCTCGGCCCATGCGATGTGTAACTCCGAGTGCTAGCAGGTGGAAAACAAGGCTTTTGCTCTTCGGGAAACATCTTGCCCTTGCCCCTTCCGTGTACAAAGTTTCTTTGAGTCCCGAAGTTCTTGGGGAAATTGGATTTGGAGGTCGCCACTCCATCCGCCTTCTTGTTAGTACACCCCATCCCTAGGGCCCACTCAATAGCAGCATTCGGAGCGAATCCGCTTTGGGACAGAGAGCCTGGACCTGGCGCCACACTCCGATTCAAATTTCGTATGTTCTCATTCATGCCCTGAAGCACCTCTAACAACTGTGCCAAGAGATCATTGGGAACATTCTGGCTCGTTCCTCTTCCTCTTTCCGCCATGCGTACATGTACTCATATACTAGTCAGTAAGCTAATTATCAAACCAGACAAATCAGCACAAAACCACACAACCGTTCACTTAAACCACATAGTCCCATCAATTACAAGATACAAAGAAGCAAGTAAGGCCATATCCTAGGCCGCAAGACTAACTATGCTCTGATACCATAATGTAACGACCCAAATTCTACCCTTGAAAATTTTTCATTTATTTTAATCCTTTCTTACATACAGTCGTCACCTTCATTAAAAACTGTCAAGTATCTCTCTTTGAAAATGCTCTTTACCCTATCATATTATCATACAAATTTATGTTGCGGAAAAACATAATTCATTCAGATAGCATTTACCACATACATCCAGTTATGGGTTTTCCAGGGTTATAACGCCCATAACTACATGTCACCATATTATCCTAATCAGATTACATTTATCCCAAAATACTATCAAATCAACTACAATGTCAAATAGCAATAAAGACATTTGAGTAAATAAACACAAAAGCTTCCTAATTGAGCTTCATCCTCAAAATCCATCATTTACCTACAATGGGATTATCATAAACAACACACAAAACAAAAGGGAGTAAGTCATTAGTTCAAAACTAACATCACATGATAATCCACATTCAAATAAGATTAAGCTTTAATATAATTTGTAAACACACATACGGAATTGTAAACATTCAAATCATCTGCCTTTAATTTCCACTTTACTCATATTCATCCTATAGTATATATATCCCATAATATATAATCTATAATAAGCATATTACGTTCGTTCGAAACATCATCTATCTCGTTATTCATATCCACCCTATAACATATATATCCCATAATATATATCCTATAGCATGTATATTACTTTCTTTCTTAATATCTTCCTTTTTATCGATCAAACATCTAACATTTCATTTGAGTCATATTTCATTTGAGTCATATTTCCATTGGTACTCCCCCAATAATATTGATTTCATTTGAGTCATATTTCCATTGGTACTCCCCCAATAATATTGATTTCATTTGAGTCATATTTCCATTGGTACTCCCCCAATAATATTGATTTCATTTGAGTCATATTTCCATGGGTATTCCCCCAATAATATTGATTTCATTTGAGTCATATTTCCATCGGTACTCCCCCAATAATATTGATTTCATTTGATTCATATTTCCATCGGTACTCCCCCAATAATATTGATTTCATTTGAGTCATATTTCCATCGGTACTCCCCCAATAATATTGATTTCATTTGAGTCATATTTCCATCGGTACTCCCCCAATAATATTGATTTCATTTGAGTCATATTTACATTGGTACTCCACCAATAATATTGATTTCATTTGAGTCATATTTCCATTGGTACACCCCCAATAATATTGATTTCATTTGAGTCATAATCAGAAAAGTCACGCATTTTCAACATAATGCATAAATTATAGACGTATCATTTTAAACCATTACCTCTTTCACATACCTCATTCATATCAGCAAGTATGATTTAGAGACACTTATCCCTTACCTTGTTGAGTGTTCGGGATCGGTTCCGGGTAACTTTAAAAGTCTCCTCCGCGATTTCCCCCAACCTTAGGATCTCTCTCTTCTCATTTCCACCAGTAACAACAATGTCAGTCATTTATTCAAAATAACACATAAACAACTCGCATTTCATCATCAAACATACAAGGGATTCACATATTTTCAAGATTTCCAAAACTATTTCAACACAAGTTTCCAAACATCTAAACATACATGTTCATCTCATATATCAACATCAAAGCACAAACTCATCATCCACATTTAACATTTCATCCATTTCTCTTTTTACTCATATTCTCATTTTGGGGTTTTTGGGGTTTCATGAATAACCCACAAAACCTTTCCATTCATCAAATACCAACTCTAAACCAAGAGACTTCACATGAGAAAAACATCATAAAACGTCCATAACTCTAAAGGGTGAGTTTCCATGGTTTCTCATGTTTTGAAAAGAGATCCAACATACCCAAAACAAGTTAGAGAGGAAGAAGAAGAGTTAGAAACAAGAGGTTTACCTCTTCTCAAGCTCTAAGATGAGTCCTAAGGCTCTTTGTTCTTGAAAAGCTCCCCTCTCTCTCTTCTCTACAAAGTTCTAACCCTAAAATGTGTTTGGGGTTTCTATTTTAAAGAGTAGTCGTCGGGTTCTCGCTCAAGCGAGCCATTCTCGCTCAGGCGAGAAAATCCCGCCTTTTTAAAATTTCAGATATGACGCTCTCGCACAAGCGAGGGATTCTCGCTCAAGCGGCCCATTCCTCGCTTGGGCAAGACTCCCAAAATTTTCCAATTTCAAAACACTGATCCTCTCGCTTGGGCGAGGTCCTCTCGCTCAAGCGAGAATCTGGCAGTATGCCCCACTCCTCAGGACTGTTACCTAATTTCAAGGAGGATAAATTTGTGGTGTTACATTTCCCATGTGTTCAGATGGGGAGCCTAAGATGTATTGCAAGTGGACTTGTAAACGAACAAGAATAAAAGATCGTCGTCTTGATTTTCTCTATCCCTCATCTCTTTATTTTCAATCGATTTACGCTTTACATGTTTTATTTTATTTACTTATTGAGTTTAATGCATGCTCTGATTCTATTAAACATATAGGCATAAATTTATTGAATAGATTGCATCTGATATTGATTGAAAATGTTGTATCTTTTCGTGCAGGGGATTTGTTTTTCAAGATTGCAAGAATTAGGTTAATCAATTAAACCTGGTGTTAATCAATTAATCATAGAATGAGTTAATCTTTTAGGAACAATAATAATTGATTAAACAATGATTTTTCAGAATATCTCATTAGCTGGAAAAAGTTTTAATTTGCTTCTGTTCATACTTATTCACCACCACTCTAGGTGTTATTTGTTCTATGACATACCCAACAAGTGATATCAAAGATAGTACGAATGTTCTAGCTTAACATCTTAGATCGTTGATCCCAGGCATATATTACCATGAGCTTCACTAACCCTTTCAGCGGTGATGGTGCAACCATCAACTTCCTTCCTGTTTTCAGTGGCGAGGGGTACGACTACTGGAAGGTTTTTCAATATGGAACTTATATTCTTATATACTTGGTGGAAGGAGAAGATCATATTGCCATGGCTGATTAAAATGGAACAACATTTATCATATGGCTAGGTAGTCGAAGAGCACATGCAGTGTGTAGTTGGGAAATTGCAGCCAAGACATAGGCGTCGTGTTTGGTCTAGCGGTTTTAGCGTGATATTTGAAAGCTTCAATCTCTTGAACTTCTTACCGACCAAATGACCTGTTCAAGTTGTACTTAAAAAAGGAGGGTTGACGATAATCAGAAATGATAACAATGAACTAATCCCAAGCAGAACTGTATCAGAAGAAGATTATATTTACTTGTCCTTTCGAAGTCTTCGACAACAGGAAGATTTGATGGATGACTTTTTTGTGTTTGGATCTTCTTTTGATAAATGCCTATATAACCAAGATATTGTGTTTCGAAGGTATGTGGTGTAACACCCCATATTTTTAAGTCTTTAAAATTATAGTATCAGTCCTCGGATCCTCGCTTGAGCGAAAGATTCTCGCCTGAGCGAGAAAGGATCACCTGGGAGGGTGAAATCTTGGACTATACTGGAAGATTCTCGCCTGAGCGAGAGTTTCCTCGCCTGGGCGAGAAATGGCAAACTGGGGTTGTTGACACTGTGAGATTCTCGCTTGAGTGAGAATACCTCGCTTGAGCGAGAGGGAACCTGTTGACACTGTGAGATTCTCGCTTGAGAGAGAATCCCTCGCTTGAGCGAGAGGGTCAGAGTTGAGTTTTTAAAATGGGCGGGATTTTCTCGCTCGAGCGAGAGAAAGCTCGCTTAAGCGAGAACCCGACGAGAACATTAAATGGGGGAAAACCCCAAACACATTTTAGGTTAAGAATTGAAGAGAGGTGAGAGAAGAGAGCATTCCCAAGGTCTAGGAGCTTTGATTCTTGTTCAAGAGCTTGAGAAGAGGTAAAACTCTTTATCCTAACTCTCTTCTTCCCTTGATAACCAATTTTTGGTATTATGGATCTCTTCTCAAAATGTGTAAAACCATGAAGACTCTCTCTTTCGAGTTATGGTTCATTTTATGTCGTTTGTACCTCGTAAACTCTTGGTTTTGAGTTAGTATTCCAAGAATGGAAAGAGGTTTGTGGGTTGGCTCATGGAAACCCAAAACCCTAGAGAGAGAAAATGAGGTTAGAGAGGAAAGATGGGTGAAATGCTAGAGGTAAAAGATGAGTTGCTTTACAATGTTAAAATATAAGATGATATGGATAAGTCTTTAATTTATGCATTATATGGAAAATGCGTGGACTTTCTGTATGAATAATAAAAGTAATGTTATTGGGGGGGGGTACCAATGGAAAGATGACTCAATAAAAGTAATATTATTGGGGGAGTACCAATGGAAAGATGACTCAATGAAAGTAATGTTATTGGGGGAGTACCAATGGAAAGATGACTCAATAAAAGTAATATTATTGGGGGAGAACCAATGGAAAGATGACTCAATGAATTAATATTATTGGGTGAGTACCAATGGAAATATGACTCAAATGAAATAAATATTATTGGTGGAGTAACAATGGAAATAAGACTCGAAACCTATTGGGGGAGTACCAATGGAAATAAGACTCGAATTATAATGACATAAATGATAAATCACTTAGTCACTATAAAGATATATGGGTATGTTTGTAGTGATGATGGGTGCATTTATGGTTTATGTATTGGTGGAGTGCCAATGAAAATAAAACTCGTTTTAGCCGACCTAAATAGGTTAGCGACTCTAGCTCGAGTTATCTAGCAATGGTTTTTCAAAAGTATAGATGATAAAAAAAAGGGTTTTTAGAGTTTTTAAATCATATTACTGTTGAAACCTATTTAAATGTGGATTAACTGACATTGAGTTTTATTGAATTAATGACTTATTCCTTTGTGTTGTTGTGCATTGTAAATGTTAATCCCATTTAAGGTAGGTGGACGAAGAATGATGATTTTGAGTAGGGGATTAGGGACTTTTGTTTGACGTCTCTTTATCCATACTTTTGTAATTTTAATTTAATGTAATTGAAGTAACTTATGATACTATGATTATTATTTTTGTACATGATATTGATCATGGGTACAAGTAACTCGGGATATATGTAACTATGGGTGTTTTGGAAACCCACAGCTAATTGTATGCGGAGGTTACTAGGTTACATAAATGAATTATGTTTTTCTGCTATTGAATGTTGTATGTTACTTATGGTTTAAGGATAGGGTGTGAGTGAGAAGCGAGACTTTTAAAGTAAATTTAATCACTCGGTAATTTATGATTGACTGTTAAATGTATGAAATTGAAATAAATAAGGAAAAATTTTCAAGGGTAGAATTTCGGGTCATTACAATATGGCATCAGAGCATAGTTAATACTAAGACCTAGGGTATGGCCTTGCATGCTTCTTTGTGTCCTTGTGTGTTGCAGTTGTTTGAATGATGCTAAATGTTAAGTGTTGTGTGCGCTATATTTATACAATTCGCTTACTAACAATTGAGTGAGTACAGGTGATCATGGCAGGAAGAGGAAGAGGAAGAGGGGCGAGTCAGAACGTTCCGAATGATTTGTTAGCTCAGATGGTGGTGGCGCTACAGCAGGTCAATGCGAACTTGCACAATCTGAACCAGAACCCGACACCAAGTCCGAATTCACATCCACTAGTTCCACCAGGACCGACGGAATATCGGGGCTTAGATGAGTTCTGGAGGAGGAACCCCACTCAGTTCCAAGGGGGATTTGCTCCTGAAGCTGCCATCGAGTGGATCCAAGGGTTAGAGCGGATCTTTAGAGCCATGAACTACACTGAGGCTCAGAAAATCACCTATGCTTCTTACATGCTGGTGACCGAGGCTGAGAATTGGTGGGAGTATACTCGGCGACAGATGGAAGCCGAAGGTCGACTGATCTCTTGGGGTACCTTCAAGGAGAAGTTCTTACTCAAGTACTTTCCCGCTGGTTTAAAAAGGAAGAAGGAGATGGAATTCCTGAAACTGGAACAGGGGAACATATCCGTAGGAGACTATCTGGCCAAGTTTGAAGAGGTGGCCCGGTTTTGCCCCTACGCCGAGTTGGAAATGGACGGAAGGTCCAAATGCGCCATGTTCGAATCGGGCTTGAGGCCCAAGTTGAAAAGTATGTTTGGGCATCAAGAGATTGCTAATTTCCCTACCCTGGTGAACAAGTGTAGGGTGTACGAAGATGATTTGGCAGCTGATGAAGCAGCGACGTCTAAGGTGGTTCCTCCCAAACACTTTGGACCTCAACGAAACTTCCCTCACGGAAAAGGGAAGGGGAAGGCGTTTCATGAAGAGAGGAAGCCTTATTTTCCTCCGACGAGTAATCGGAGTTATCATTCGCATGGGTCGAGGACTCATGTCACTGCTGGAGGGTCCCGGTTGAACGCTCCCTCTCTGTGCAACAAATGTGGCCGAGTGCATGTCGGCGACTCATGCCCTGGAATGACGCTCACTTGTTTTCATTGCAAGGAAGTGGGACATGTCCGAAGAAATTGTCCTAAGCTACCACGGAGCGTGAATACTGTGAGGGTTGAACGACCTCGATCCACAGGTAGAGTGTTCACCATGAGTGGGGCAGAGACATCTGGCATTGATGGCCTGATTAATGGTAATTGCATGGTGTCAGGTATTCCTCTTTTATTGTTGTTTGATTCAGGAGCGACACACTCCTTTGTATCCATTGACTGTGTGGACCGACTGAATTTACAAACTGAGTCGTTGCCTTACGACTTGGTCGTATCCACCCCAACTGATGTGCCTGTGGTGCTGTCGACAGTTGTGTCTCAGTGTCCGGTGGTGGTAAACAGTAGGGATTTTACCGTGGATTTAATCTGCTTACCACTATCCCAATTAGATTTGATTTTGGGGATGGACTGGTTGTCAGAAAATCATGTGGTGCTCAATTGTGCCGATAAGACCGTGACGTTAGGAAATCCAGAAGGGATTTCGGAGGGGGTCAGTCGTATGGGGCCGATGTCGGCAAAAGAAGTCAGGACTTCCTGTAAGGAGGGAGGGATGGTGTTCACGTTGATGGCGTCCCAGGAAGGTATTGAGAAGTCCAAGGTTGATGACATTCCCATAGTTCGTGAGTTTCCGGAAGTCTTTCCTGGTGATATTTCGGAATTACCTCCCATGAGAGAAGTTGAATTCTCCATTGATTTAGTGCTGGGAACGGGACCCATCTCTATAGCCCCTTATAGAATGGCTCCGTTGGAGTTAACTGAGCTGAAAAAGCAGGTTGAGGAATTGTTGGCTAAGAAATTTATTCGCCCAAGTGTCTCGCCGTGGGGCGCACCTGTTTTACTAGTTAAGAAAAAGGACGGTAGTATGTGATTGTGTACCGACTACAGGCAGTTGAACAAGATTACAATCAAGAACAAGTACCCATTGCCTCGGATTGATGACTTAATGAATCAGTTGAGAGGGGCGGTAGTGTTTTCTAAGATTGATCTTCGTTCGGGCTACCATCAACTTCGAGTGAAAACCGATGACATTCCAAAGATTGCTGTTAGGACAAGGTATGGACATTTCGAGTATTTGGTCATGCCTTTTGGCATAACAAATGCTCCAGCAATATTTACCAACTACATGAATAGGATTTTCCATCCGTTTTTGGATTCATTTGTAGTGGTATTTATTGATGACATTTTGGTTTACTCCAAAAGCCGAGAGGAACATGCGGAGCACCTGAGGATTATTCTAGAACTCCTGAGTAAGAACCAGCTGTATGCGAAATTGTCTAAGTGTGATTACTGGTTGGAGTCGGTGAATTTTCTTGGGCACGTGATCACCAAGGAAGGGGTAGCTGTGGATCCTTCAAAGGTAGAAGCGGTTACAGAATGGGCCGTGCCCAAGTCGGTTACTGAAATCCGTAGCTTCCTGGGTTTGGCAGGTTATTATCGGAAATTCATAGAGGGATTTTCGAAGTTGGCACTACCATTGACTAAGCTCACTAGGAAAGGAGAACTGTTTGTGTGGACACTTCGTTGCGAAGAAAGCTTTCATGAGTTGAAACGAAGGTTGACTACAGCACCCGTGTTGGTTCTTCCGTGTACGTATAAGGATTTCAGTGTGTATTGTGATGCTTCCAAGCAGGGTTTGGGTTGTGTACTGATGCAAGAGGGAAAGGTGGTTGCCTATGCTTCTCGTCAGTTGAGAACACACGAGCAGAACTACCCTACGCATGATTTAGAATTGGCAGCAGTGGTCTTCGCTTTGAAAATTTGGAGGCACCATCTCTATGGTATAAGATTTGAGGTGTACAACGACCACAAGAGTTTGAAATATCTGTTTGATCAAAAAGAGCTAAATATGAGGCAGAAGAGATGGATGGAATTTTTAAAGGACTACGATTTTGGATTGCAGTACCACCCAGGGAAGGCTAATGTAGTAGCCGATGCACTCAGTCGGAAATCTTTGCACATGTCAGCTTTGATGATTAGGGAAGGGAAGCTGATAGAAGAGTTCAGGGATATGAACCTAGACGTCTAGATGAGACCTCAGAGTATGATATTGGGTATGTTTTTAAAAGAGTTTTTGGTTTGTTTACACTTTTGACAAGTGTCACAAATCTCTTTAGTTTTGAAATTTAGTTTTGGTAGCCCTTCAACTAGTTGGTTTGATGACAATTTATCTAGATGTTTTATATGGATGTGTGCAACGCGTCTGTGCCAGAGCCAGATGTCATCTTCTTTAGAAATGAAACATTTTGAAAATAATGTGGTGACATCATACAAGTTAACCATGTAAATATTATTTATACGATGACCAACAAATTTAACATTATTAGA